TCTCTCTCTCTCTCTCTCTCTCTCTCTCTCTCTCTCTCTCTCTCTCTCTCTCTCTCTCTCTCTCTCTCCATATATTATAACAAGAAGTTAATTTAGTCGTTAAAACGATATGCCATTGAAAAATAGGGTAAACTCTATAATACGATTAGCTGTTCGCACTTTTTGGGCACTTATTTGCCATATAATTGTGTCGGGATATGAAGAGTGAGGCACTTATACCCCATACCATCACAATCACAATGATTGAGTCAAACGCATAAACACTTTCACCAATATGTTATGTTATTGTTCGCAGCGTGAAAGTGATTGTGTCGGCACATTCAGCACCGCATATACCCCGAGAACATACCCATACCATAGAGTACAGGCCATAACTGGTTTAAATAATCAAATGAGTCCTGTAATTCAATTGTAATGCTAACCATAGGACCCGCTGAGCATAAATTAGCCGCAAATATAAATCAAAAAGCCGTCACATGTTATTATACATGTCTGTATATACACATCGGGTTAATAACATTTTTAGGCATTTCTTTGTTAATAGCGATTAGTTATTATTATTATTATTATCGTTGTGTTTGTATTTAATTATAAATTCAATGCCTTATCGCCACTCGCTATCAATAATGTCTTGTCATTAATTATAAGCAATTCTTTCACTCAACTCTCTATCGTATACCAGAATTGGACATTAAGTGCACAGCATTTACCGCATCAGCACATAAACATTGAGCTCATTTATTTGCAAACATCTTATTTGGTAATCAATTGGCAGTCAGTTTATGGAATTTATGCGTTAGACATGTATTGTAAAAAATGCTAAAATAAATTTTTAGCCTTATATTTACAAATTTATTCGCAAATTTTTACATAGTTTTAAATTCCCCGTTGAATTGACCCATAGCTTAGCGCAGAGTCTAACCCAAAGTCGTGTAAAATGAAAATGATGAAACAGTAGGTGCGATACATTCATCCAAATTAATTAACATGATAATAATGATGTGTTTGTGTTTGAAATTATGAATACAGTTATTGAATACAACAAATATTTACCTTTTTTGCCGTTTACACGAAGAATATTATCGACTGATTCTCTGCGATGAAAGTTAGGGTTAGATAACGTCGACGGCGTTAGGGATGAGATAAGTCCTGCGGCCGCAGCGGCCGAAGAGTTGGCGTTAGCGCCGGCGTGAAGGAGACTGTCGATGGAGTAGGCGGTGGCGGCGGCGGCCGCGGCCACAGCCAGCGATGGTTGGAAGTGATGGGCCGACGAGTGAAAGTCGTACGGATGGGCCAACGATGGCATACTGTACGGCGCGATCGGCGAACCGAAGTGCGCGAACGGCCCCGGAATGGGTCGCCCGAGTCTGGCCAACACACTGGCTGTGCCGCCGAAGTTGACCGCCGCTGACGACACCACCGCTGAGGCACTATTGGAGTGATGGAGCAAATGGTTTGATCCGTCCATTGCTATTAGAGTTGTTGTCTTTTGTTTATAATAATTAGCGGTTTATTAGCCGTCAATTGCCGACACATTTACACACAAAGAAAATTAATTTGCATTAAAAACAATTGCACCGAAAAAATTAATTGTTGTCATAGAAAGTGCTAAATATATTGATCACTACTACTGTTTGGGCGAGAGATGCAGACAATGAGACAGACAATGTGAATGGACTGTTAGGCAGTCGTTAAACAATTTATTAATATTAATACTATTACTGGAAAATCCATGCGAAACAAGCATCGGATGGTTATATGTGTGGAAAAGCACAGACACAACGAGTTTTGATTGATATTTGTTAGCAAAAGTTGGTCAAAGTTTTTTTGCGAATTTTATATTATCGACAGGCGTTTAGCAAATAGATTGAACATATCGTACAGATTTACACGACATTATGGCCACACCTCTCTATTGGCGATACAGTGGTTGGTATTAACGGCGGACACGTATATATCGGCGGCCCGACTGACCATCTGGTATAGACTCGTATAGACAGGACTCATGTAATTTCAATGACCGAAATTGATCTCTCGCTCCAGCGATTACAGCGACGATTGCCTCTTCAACACACATCCATCGCAACCATCGCACAGAGCACTGCCTCCCAGTGCCGGATGGCTCCACCTCCTGATGGCGGAGTCACCGAAACACATCCACCAATCGATGCCGGCGTTTAACATACAAATCAATGTTTCAATGTTTGCACAAAATTCTGCATCACTTCTCCTCTCATTCTCTCCCCTCTATGTTTGCTCTTCTCTATTAATTTCAAACTTCTCTCTCTCTCTCTCTCTCTCTCTCTCTCTCTCTATAATATTAGAGATATATATTACTATTAATAATACATCACATCATATAATAAAATAAAATATAGTAATAATAATATTTCTCTCTCTCTCTCTCTCTCTCTCTCCTCACACTTTCTCTCCCTTTTTCCAACACTCTCTTCATATAAGTGTAGAGAACCTAATCTTTGCCTCGTTTTCACAATTTTGTTCACATTTGCCGGCATATCGTCCTCTCTCTCCCCCAATAACAAGAGTTAATAATAATTTGAGTCTTTATTTTGATTGTCTTTATTTAAAGGCAAGTCAACGGTATAGCGAATTGTGTTCACTATATATCGCATCAAAAGTAATATAATATATAAAACATTAAATAAGGTGTTTATATATTTATTGTGCAATCTTTTTATAAATTCTGTCCACAATTTTTTATTATTACATTAAAGTGTTGTCTATTTCTCGGGTATAGTTTAAGAGCCCATTTGATGGCTAATCACAAGTTGTGGTGACATTATTACAGAGGGAGAGGAGAAGACATACATGACATGACATTATATATTAAGGGAAAAGGCATCGGATTATCAATAGCTTGTGTGTGAACTGAATGTTCAAAGTCTTAACGATTTAATGTGTATATAATATATTGTTATATAAACGCAATAACAATAACACAAAACAAAAAATTGCAATTTAAATATAAAATAGTAACTCAAATAAAATTTATATATAATATTAGAGATATATATAAACGCTTTTAAAGAGAGTCACGAATATTTCATTAAAACAATATTAGGATCAGCGCTGGTATTCTCGTTCACATGTCGGCCCCCTTCCCACCCCTCACTTCACTCCCCCTCTCCCGCTATTTGGTTAAAAATGGTGATGATATATAAATTGTGACATTTTCTACAATTGAAAACTATATTTTAATGTAGGAAAACGTTTTATTATAACGCTTTGCACATAATTTTCATATTATATGATTATTTTCGTACATGAAATTGAGGAGAGAGAGAGAGAGAGAGAGAGAGAGAGAGAGAGAGAAATATTATTATTACTATATTTTATTTTATTATATGATGTGATGTATTATTAATAGTAATATATTATAGTATGGTTTCTGTTTGCTTTACTCATTTGCAAATAATATGTGTATATTTTTGTATAAATATATTATTTATTATTTTTATTTATTTGCAAAAACTCTATTAAAATATAATATCATTTATACAGACAAACATCAGGAGTGAATACACAGACAAATAAAATACATTTGCATATATAGTAAAATAATATCATATATAATATAATGGTTGTAATGAATAGTAAATTTTTGTGTCCCATAAATATCAGGCAAACAATGATAAGGAAATAATAGGAAAATTACTATTAGAGATAGATTTTTGTTTTTAAATAAAAATATAAATAAATAATAACATTAAGTATTAAATAAATATCGTTTTACCAACAATTACTTAATGGACAATAAGTTGATTACTATTCAAACTAAACATTGAAAAATTTATGGCATATTTATAATATATTTTGTATATTGAATGGCAAAAAGTGAGAGGAAATAAAAATAAATTATGCGTTGAATTAATGAAAGCAAGCCTTGAATGCAATGTGTGTTTAAACCATACCATTATATTCTTGGTATACATACCATGTATTGTAATACACACTATAATATAATATAATATTATTCATCAACTAATAATTGTTTCTCATTTGTTTGCGATATTTGATCCGTTAATAAAAATATTGTGTACAGAAAATGCTGCTCAACATTAATAGAGAGAGAGAGAGAGAGAGAGAGAGAGAGAGAGATCTAAAATTTTGATTGAAAAGCAAATTATGTAATGTATGGCAAAAATGATGTATTAGATTAAGGTTAAAGTTATCCGATTTATAAATGCAGCAAAAAATCCCACATACGGTATGTATTGTATGGCCAGTGGTTTCCAATTTCACGTATTAATGCATTATATATTTTTGACAATTACAGGTCAAACCCATACAAACTTTTAGACCCTGTGCCCCCTCCCCTCCTCCAATCCATTTACCCCTCCTTTTACTCTCTCTCTCTCTCTCTCTCCATGGTATAAAATAGCGCCGCTAAAAATTGGGCACTAAATGTAAGCCGCAGTAAACAACTAATAAAAGCCACAAAATCTCTTAGTTTTCATAAAAAATCATTTTTAGACTAAACGCTAAGTATATTTACACATTAGTGCCGTTATTACAGCCGATGTATGCCATTGATGTGTTTGTTCCCTTTCCCTCCCTGTGCTCTCACATTGCCTTTCAATACAATTCAATATATGATTGCGTTTAGAGATTGACTTTGCATTCAAATACGTTGGGCTAAGACTTTCTGGTCTCGCATTACTACAAACATTATATAATATATGCATAAAATTGATTTCATTGTAAGTCTTTTTGGGTCTATTATTTAACATTCAATAATGCATTTTTATTCGTTGCACTTATCCGGCAATGTTTGGCAAACAATCCTTAAAAGCATTCAATTTACAATATTTTCCATATAATAATTGCCTAAACATACGAGAAATACTTATAAGAAAACATACAATTATAATCATAAATAATATTTTTATTACTATTAAAAGCGATTACAAAGATATGTAAAGAATTGGTTTGGTTTTCATGGATATATTGTCACGGATTCTGTACGATATGTACTGCAATCTTGTGGTCGAGTATTCAGTTTTTGGGCACAAATTTTCACACAATTTCTGTTATACATTGCATTCAATTATATGTTTTGCGCGAAAAGTCGTTTTGCATGAAATTCGTGTTCAATATATTTAATAAGTATTCAATGATTAGTAGAGAAAATCGTGAGCTTTTCTCCGATGAAAGATCGATAATTGGGTGAAATTTCTTCTTCTTATTTCAATTTTATTGTGTTTTACAACTAAACTGTTATTTAAGAATTTCCTTTAATTTTCTCATTTGGTTCAGGATTTTTGAGTCTATATTCCGGAGCGAAAAAAAAGTTTCAAAATTTAATTTAATAAAAACATTTCAAAAAATATCTCAAGTGTTGGCAAAAACCTCGACTTTTTCTGGCGTAAGAGTGGCGCAAATCGTTGCGAACCGTCTCTTGCATGGCATCGTCGGGCGCCGAAGACGTCTGATTGATCACCGATTCCAGTGCTTTCATCCACGACTGGCGATCATCAGTACTCGAGGCCGCGAAGAGCCACGTCCTCTCTATAAGCGGCCATACATTTCAAATAAATAGCATTTCATTAAATTGACCCATCGATTAGTTTAGATACATTTGCTTAAATTAGCATATTGGTTAAATTATTGTTTCAAAAAATACAGTGACAAACCCGGTGTGACTAATGTAAAAGAGTATCCGCTCTCGAGTTCCTTCATTCCCGGCGGAACTCCCGATTTGACAATAAATCCCTCGTTAGAGTCGCCCAAAAATATCTCGCCCTTCGGGTACGCCTCCTATTCATGCAAATTGTTAGCAAAAAAAATTATGTCCACAAAATGGCCGTATTTTCTGATCACCAGAGGCTGATCCAAATACATGAGTTTCCTGTCGTCCAAAACAAACCATCGTTTTTTGTATGAATCGCTCACTCGGGGCCCAGTTTTCCATAGGAAGCCCTCTTTGACAAAGTCTTTGGTCAGTATTTTGAGCAAATCGTCGACCGGTGTCTCCGGGAAAGCGATTTGCAAGTGTCTGAATTTGGCTGCTCTTATAGCTGTGTACCAATCAATTATATCCTATCATTTCAAATGTCATTTCATACTATTAGTGGTGTATTATTATCAATTATTATAGGCTTTTTAAATCAGTTTAATAATTTTTTGCGCAATTTTTAATAAGTAATTGTTTTATGGATTTCCAAATGCTTTCAATCAATAAATCATATCTATTCTCTATATTCATATACAGATATTTATTGATATAATTAGTAAACAATACAATAAATTTAATTCAATGAATAAATAATAGCTATTAATCGGTGTGTGTTTTATAGGCTATACATTATGCCCACTCACTCCCCAAGTGTTGGGCTTATATAAAATCATCAATAATTATAATTACGATTAAAATATTCAGAGAAAACAAACGAAAAGTTTTTTATTAAATGTTAACTGAAAAAATAACATTAAACACGATTTGTGTATAATTATTAAACTATTAATTTAAAAATAAAGCATTGAAAACAGAAATGCCTAATAAATAGTTAAACGAAATATTATTTTAATGGTCTCTGAAAAGTGAATTTGTTTTGTGTTTAACACCTCATTAATGAGCTATTTATGCAATTAGTGGCAAACACTTAATTGAAACACACAATCGATATATAATTTTCATTATATACTGAATGTCTGCCACAACACCAGTTGTTTTCGCCCGCAATATAATAAATGAGAAGTTTTTTATAATATTTTATTTTTCATTTTCAAAATATTTTACGTGACTTTTCCTCATCTATCATGAATGAGAGAAAGAGAGAGAGAGAGAGAGAGAGAGTGAGAGAGAGAGAGAGAGAGAATTTTGTCAGTCTTTTGGCGACACTTCCCTTAAAAGAGTGATTTCCTTCCCTTTTGACTGCAAAATACATACAAAATAATAGAAATTTTGTCGGATATCTATGTTTCTCAACGAGAATAACATCACATAATATGAAATCATAACTGTTTTGTTAAACAACACAACAATTTCTACTAAAATATTACTTTAAAATCGATTTAATTTTGAATATATGACTGAAAATGAGTGAAAGTAACCGAAGGCGTCTGTTTGAGCTCTTGAAGATCAATGGGAACGACATTTGCGCCGATTGTGATCACGAGAGTAAATGCAATCTTATAAATATAAACACCATGGTTGTTTTCGATATGTTCATTATATTTACATCCCCCCTTTCAGGTCCAGAATGGGCTTCCATAACACTCGGAGTATTCTTATGCACACAATGCGCCAGGTATTCACTATTTTTGTTTTTACCTAGATTTTTTAAAACCATATTCCAATTGGGAACTAACTTACAATTACTATATTGTTGTTACAAAAATAAACACAAAGTATACACCGAAAGATCGGAATACACGTATCGCGCATAAAGTCATTAAAACTGGACAATTGGGATCAGTCTCAGGTGATCATAATGGAAGAGAATGGAAATATATTATCCAAAAAGTTGTACGAAAAACACTTACCCCTGTATT